CCCCCAACAACAATCTGGGTCCTCATTTTACCCACCTCGGAAGGATGGAAGGCTGAGTCAACCCTGAGCCGGCTGTATCCTAGGAATGTCCTCTGTTGCCAGGGAGGCCTCTCAGGCAACCCACCATCTTGGCTGTCTGAAGGAGTCGGTTGAATTTTCCTCGTGGGGATGTCTCACAGTCATTCTTTGTATGTCCTTGGCTCCACAACGGTCCTTTTATAAAATTCAACTGCCCTTAAAGGGGAATTTGCCACTACTTGAGAAAATACAGTCATTGTGGAAGAGGAGCTAGCTCAAAGGACAGTCACCTTTCATTGATAACTTGTTTGTTTTGTGAACTGAAAGGATGCTTCACTATGCCAAATATGCCCCACTCCCTTCCCCCGCCTTTGTCTGTTTATATTGAATTCATGAAGTCTAAACACAACAGGTCATCCTATTGAGTGAGAAGCTCAGTAGATAGGGAGTCTTTTCAAAGGATGTTTTCTATACTTAGTGAGGCTACTCGGAAGCTTTCAGATATCCAAGCCTTTCTGCACATGAAACCTGGAAGACCATCAGGGAGCAAAAAAATCAAGCTCTGGGATGTTGGAATTTCCCCCCCAAAGACTTGTTCCTTTTGGAAAATAAAACTAATAAATGGACATTCCCCTCTTTGTTTATTTCGAGCATTTCTGTAGTTTAATAGACTTCACTGTACAATCAGTGGAGGTTGCTTTTAATGTTCCATTGTCTTTGTGTGTAAATATATAAAGGCTTCTTTTATTATTGTGCTTAGAAATAAACTGCAATATAGGTAGTCTCCAATTGACAACCATAATTGAATCCAAATTACAGAGGAAGTCATTCTAGTCATTAAATGGGTGACTGCACCAATGTTTGGTGGTGAAACAACTCTAATGGGTGTAAAGTGAATGCTGTGGTCATTTAGCAAATCCATTGTCCATAATAGATGTGTTTGCCAGAAACCAAAGTAAATGCCAATTTCTGGCAAAAACTGTGGACACGACAAATGGCCATCAATGCAGGCTAGTTACCAGGTGTCCAAAATGTGATCATATGATCCCAGGAAGGGTGGCCATTGGAATTTTGAATTCAGGTCATAAATAATCCTGGGGAGATCTGGTGTAACTTCTAATGTTCACTAGGTGACCAGATGTAAGTGGGGGATTTCCTGTATTAATTTTAGGTGAAACTATTTAGCATGCGGTAAATGAATGGCATGTATTCCTTTTCTTTGAAAAGAATTGTATCTTGATTGTTTTGTCTATACATCTCCACAAAGGGATGATATTCAATTTTATTATTGGATAGATTTTTATTCAAGCAGGTTTGAGACGCACCTTTTCCCCTCAAAAAAGAGTGTGAAAATCTGGGTGCATCTTATACACAGAATACAGTATTTTTGGCCTAACGAAACCCTGCCCCCTTTGCAAAAATGGACATGCAGAGGACTTGGAAGGCTTGCAAAGTGCTCCTGAGGGCTGGGGAGGGCAAAAAAAGACAGCAAAAAAGGGGCCATTTCTGGCCCCCAGCCCCCAGGAGCACTCTACAAGCCTCCCAAAGCCTCTGCATGCCCCCCCTTTTTTTTTGCAAAAAAACAGCCCATTTTTTTTCTCATTTTTGCCCCCCCCCGGCCCCAGGAGCCTCCCAAAGCTCTGCATGCCCCCCCCATTTTTGCAAAAAGCAGCCTGTTTTTGCGCAAAACGGGCCATTTTTTGCTCATTTTTGCCCCCTCCCCAGCCCTCAGGAGCACTCCACAAGTCTCCCAAAGCTCTGCATGCCCCCCCCCTCACTTTTTTTGCAAAAAACGAGGCGTGCAGAGGGTTTGGGAGGCCTGCAGAGTGCAAAAACCTTTTTTAAATTTATCTCTTCAAAATCATGGTGCGTCTTATACTCTGGTGCATCTTATAGTCTGAAAAATACAGTAATTTCACATGGTAGGAAGGCAATGAACAGGGAGATATGACAAAAACATAATGGGTGCTACCAGTTTGAATCAAGGAAGATAAAGAAGAGAAAATTTTGTGATGTACATTATGGAAGTCTGTGCTAAAGGAGCATGTTTTGAAAAGGGAGAAACTGGAATCTGAGGAAAGCATTTTGTGAAAAAGTATTGAATAAGGATCTTTAAGGACAAATTCTCCATCTAATTTGAGGTTTCCCCCTTTATGGAAGGGTAGCCTTTTTGGTAATATATATCTTCAAATGAAAAAGTAGGCCTTGTGTCCGTCAAAGTTTCTAGTCCACATTAAAAGCCTTCCTAAATTGAAGAGGCCTACGTTCAAATTTCTATTCAATTATGAATTACACTGAAAATTACGGCCACATTTTGAGTGAGAAATTTAGACAGAATGTGAGAGAAAATGAAGTACTGACATAAGGTTGAATTAAAATAGAAATACATTTGGTTTAAAACACTTGTATATACTCTCTTTTGTGTCATTTTGATTAGTCCTACTAAAAACATTATTTAATTACAGGATTTTTTTTAATGTATTGACATAATTTTATGTTACTTTTATTTTACATTCTATAAAATTTCACTGCTTATTTGTCCATAATTTAATTTATTGTATGCATTTAAGTTCTGTTTACAATCCTGGTGTAAACCAGACCCTAGTAGATTCCCAAGCTTCAAGAAGTTAAAAATTCATTTTTTTGAGTAGGAAATCCATTTTTTAAAAAATCTCATCTGAATTTGCCTCATGGGCTGTTTGACTTCATTGCCATTCATAGAGAAGGATTTAATTGGTCTACTTACTTTATGCCTAAAATTGGACCAAGAATCTGGAAGTAGCTGCTTCTCCTTAAAAATAAAATGTCTCCTTGGAAGAGACCCTGCATCTCACTGTATTGACTTTCTCTACAGTTAAGAATCCTCCCGTGGAACCTTCTCGGTATTTGTCTCTGCTTCCCAAAATCCCAGATAAGATGGGATTTGATGAGGTAAGAAATAAATAATTCTGATACATTTTGGAAGAGAGAAGGTGAGAAGGAGAGAAGGCAGGAAGGGGAAGAGGAAGAGAGGAGTAGGGGAGAGGGAAGAGAAGAAGGAAAGGAAAGGAGAGAGGAAGAAAGAAAGTAGAGAAGGGAGGGACGGAGAAAAGAAAGAGAAAAGAAGGAGGTGTCAAAACAGGCGAGGGATGGTAAACAAAGCAACCCAAATGGTATATTATAACCCTGTAAATGGAATGATAAAGGTATAAGAATGACGAATGTAAAAAAAGAATAATAACTATATGAATGTATACCTATAATTGTATATAGAGAACAAAAATAAAAAAAACTTTTCCAGAAAAAAAAAGAAAATAAGAATTCTGATACATGTATAAAAATTATAAATAAATAATTAGGACAGACAAATCAGTGGAACTTAATTTGCCTAACCTAGCTCCCCAAATCATGACCAAATATTAAAATTATGTCTCAAAAAATGTTATGTTTTTGAGCCGTGTTGCCAGATCGAAGTGGGGATTTGTGTTTAACATTTTTATTGAATTATAAAATATTATAAAATACAAAAATTACAAAAGTACCGTAAATAGAAAAGCAGTGGGAGGTGGTGGTGGTGGTGGAAGGGGGAAGAGAAGTGAGGAAAGATAAGAAAAATGGAAAAGGAAAAAAAAAGCATTGACTCCTGGCTTTCTCTATTACAGTAAAATAAGGCATTAACATCAAATCACAACTTTTTGCTTTTTAATAATAATACGAACAAGCCATTTCTGTAACAATCTTTCGGTCTACTCAGTAAAACCCAAAATCAAGGTTTCATTCTTTTCCACATCAAGCAAGAAGTTTAGAAGTGGTCTCCGTGTAGAAACAAAAGTACTTATTGTACAGATGGGAGTGGGGATTTGATTCCTCTCTCTTTGCTAGAATTTGCCAAGGAGTACCTTAGATATTTTGGATTTTATATAATTAGATCTCAGGTTGGGGAATATTTGTGTAAAATGCCTCTAATATAGGTCTGCCATCCTTAGGATGCAGTACAGTTAGTCCTCATTTAATGATTGCCTTGTTAGTGACCACTCACAGTTATGATGAAAAATAGGATATATCCTTGCCCTTACAACCAAGATCTTTAAAGCAAAGGAAAGCTGCAGTAAGATCATAAGCATAGCTATGGTTTCACTCAGCGGCTGCTTCATTTAATGAATGTTGCTGATTCTAATTGTGGTTGCTAAACTCGGGCTACCTGTACTAAACACATAATAATAATCATTGAACTCGAACGGGGAGGATCTCTGCATAAAAGCGACACCTGCAAATAAATTGCTGCATTAGGAAGATTTCTGGATTGGGAAGGGGAAAGCTGTGACACTTCAGTGATTACCAGCACCAGCCAGAGCTGCTGAAATAGGTAGGAAGCCTATTCCTGTGGAATTCCTCTACCTAATTATTACTGAACGGTTAGTTTTGCCCAGGGTGTCCTTTGCTCTGTGATTCTGTTTACCACGTTGTCATTTTGCTTTCCCCCAGGTTTTCATGATTAACCTCAAACGTCGGAAAGATCGACGGGAACGGATGTTGAAGGCCCTTTACGAGCAGGAGATTGATTGCAAGATTGTTGAAGCCGTGGATGGGAAGTGAGTGCCGTCATCACATGAAGCCTTGCTGGGGAACAAAAAGCTACTTTTTGACGCCTTTGTCCCCAGAGTAGAATAGAATAGGGAGCCTAAGTGTGTGATTGAAGCTTCTTAGATCACTCAATGTGAGTAGGCAACCCTTAAGCATGCACCAATTAGAATAAGTACTTCAAAACTAGGGGAGAGATTTCCAGCTTGCTTATATTGAAAAACTCTATACTGATTCCCTTGCTTTTATCTCAATCAGCAGATAGGAAGACCATCTCCTTCCTTTCTGTGGTGTAGGTGAGAAACTGGTGGCCCTATAGAAATTTTCCCCATGGAAGATGCTTTTCTGGGGTTGCTAGAAGCACTAAGTCAGTGATGACTTCTGGGCCAAATTTTCCTTTTGGAGCAGTTCATAAAGAGCAAAAAGTTTGGGGCACATCTAATTTGATGAACAGCAATGTCTTCTCTTTGTCTGAATTGAAAGAATCAGTAGCAATAGCAATAGCAATAGCAGTTAGACTTATATATC